ACTTTCATCGATACTTTTACGAAATTTCAGGCAATATATGCAAATAATATGAATTTTTTTGAGGATTCGTAAAGAAATCGTTACATAATTCGGATACCCTTAAAGATTTCCTTAACATTTCGGAAACTTTGCTTTGCAGTCAATAAATCAAACAACAAAGAGACCCTAGATTTCAGTTTTAATGCGTTGGCTGTCTAAACTCTACGATCTGCCATTTTATTTAGGGTGCTATATAAGATAACGGATTTGTTTTCTAAAATGCACTGTGCTCTACTTGTCAAGCCCTTTCATTTGATACCCATATTAAGATGGTTGTGAATAAAATTTTGTTCGCCATTTTATGTCTGCGGCCATCTTGGATTTACAATGACTTTGTATAAATCGTACATAATTTCATTGCTCTCAGAACTAAAGGTGTGTGCCAAATTTCAGATCAATAACTCAACGGAAAAAAGGGAATTTTCAATTACTATTAAATTTGACCACCCAAACAAGATTTAAAATGACCCACATGGGTGAGAGATAAAGGGTTAACATGTTCCACAAAAATATACGTCATTAAATTTTACTATAGGGCCTTAAAGACAAGAGTAATAGTAAATGTAGTTTTATACAAGATTTTTTAAGTAATTTAGGCCAAATTAGGAAAACTTCAGTGTGTACACTGTGAGAAACTTTTGACGTTCATGGAGAAAACGGCAGCCAATCCAAAGTTCTAGAGCTCTTCCTCTTTCATAATTGCCGAACTGCATTCGGGCCTTTGTTTGGCTGTCGCACAGTGTTTTTAGACTTTCAGCTCTGACCGCTCTGATCGAGTTGTCCTCAAACCAAATTTTACAAGATATTACAGAAATTGGTTCCGAAATACATACATACATATTCGCAATTCGGATTTCCGTATTTTTTCTAAGTGAAACAGTTTGATACATATGTATACTTATATGTATGTACTATAAAAATGTCTTAAACTGACTGTTTGTGCGATTTTATAACAAATGATTGATTACTACAGAGCAAATAAACGACATAAATACTTATGAGAAAGCATCCACACCAAAGATAAATAATATATGAGGGCAAGAAAATGTTCTTAACGAATTCGTAAAGATAAGCCAACAGTAGTCGTATGAGTAAATTCTTAAGTGAGAGATTTGTAGAAGATATCTCACACAACAAGCACTGAAATAGGAGCAACAAATTGACGATTTGATGAAAGAGTTTTTCATAAAGCTAATGCGCTAACATGACCCATAGCAATTGACAGTATGACAGTATTTATTGACATAGAAGAGGGAAGGAAAAAAGCCATAATATATGTGCCATACGTATGTATGCATGGCTTTTTATGTATAAAAGTTTCTTAAGTTTTCACTTGTTTGATTGATTGAAAAGATGACCTCAATTCCAAGCCTCTAGTGTTCTATATAAACTGCGTATAAAATTAGAAAACTTGCTCATACGTATACCCGTATTTAACTGAGCTGATTTATCTACCAATCGACAATGTATTTACGCTTGCCGACTAATTAAAAAATATATCTACTTATTTGTGTTTATTAAAAAATTATTAATCAGCTTCATTGGAAGCTCCGGAAATGCCAGTGTGTAAGCAAGCCGATTAGTGACATATACATATATGCATGTGTGTGCATTAGGGTGGTCCAAAAACAGTAAACTCGGAATCGTAATGCTCTCACCCCTAGGATTATTCTATATCGAAAAAGTATACCCCTATTTTTTTTATTTTAAATCAAAAAATATTTAGAGGTCGCTCAAAATTCCAACTTTACTTTCTCACATGCATTTTTGGACCACCCTAGTGTACATATACGTATACGTAAATTCTTGTATACCTTTTAAGAAAACACGTCATTGCAAGTGCAAAGATCTCAGCAAAAAAAAAAACAATGCAGTTGTTTGGGAATGTGTTTCCTCTTTTTCAATGGGAGTTGCTGAGAGAAGACAAACGAAGAAGTGGACAAGCGCGCGTGAAAAGCTCTGATACAAGACTTATGGAAGCGAGTCAATCTATCTGACCTAACTAAGATTGCTGATCTCAGAAATTGCCAATAAGACTCTAGGATTCTAATAATTACTACTAACAGAAGGTGGACTAGCCCGCACTCATGCCGAACATAGAGCTAACTCTGCTCATCGATCGATGAATGATTAACACATAGGTTTGCCTATTGAATGCGCCTAAAATTTTGTGGGGACCATTTCTTCGAGGACCTAGAGAGCTAGGTATATCCTCTGAGGTGTGGGCTGTCTAAATTCGCTTAGGATTTGCCCTTTTGGGTTAAACTAAACTAACTTATTGCTGGGATAGAGAAAACAAAGAGCTACAGCTTTATCGTCGACAAGGACACTACCGAGCAAAATTTTTAATTACTCCATTATATTTTGGGTAGTTCTTAACTAGACCTACTCTACGTTCATCGCCATTTTTACTGCTGGGTTGGAGCATATGTGCCATATGCAAATGTGTATGTAACACTCTCGTTTCTTTTCAAAAAATTAATACTTCAGCACATCATTGAACTTGAACTCCGCTGACCGCCACTCGTAATTAAAAGGAAATACTTTTTTTAATACTCTTTTTCAGTCTTCTTACTAACTTTCAGTCAAAACTGAAATACTCTAGATACTCCATGTGTATGCATAAGTACTATGTACGTATGTTCATACATATTATAATGTGTGTAGGTCCATAAAAAAATGATAAACAAAAAACAATTTCAACTGTATTGCGCCTGGTCATTAAGCGAAAAATGTCAGAGGCAGCAGCAACTGACAGCTGGCTACAGGAAATCGAACGCTGAAAAATTACGCAAATGTCATCAGTCGTGAAAAAGCTGCAATCAGCGACTCTGGTGAAAAAATTTAAAATAAATGTTCGCTATAGGAGTATAATGCTTTAAGTTTGGGTGCAGTTAAAAATAAAATTTCATAAATAAATATCAAGAGCAATCAGCTGTTTTTTCGCTTTCACTCAGCATCTAACGGCAAAAAGTGTCATTTATCAGCCTGTCAGCTGTAAAGCCCCGAACAAACAAATTTTAGAAAAGTCAGAATAAAAAAGCACAGCGTCTAGATAAAACTAAGTGGAAAAGTTTGGATGCTCGTTGTATGATTTCTTTGTCTCAACTGCGACTTTTTCCACTCATCTCTGCAGCAAACCACACGCAACATTGATAAATTCGTGGCTTGTTTAGAATCGCCTGACTTTTGAACTGTCAAGCGAATGTCACGAATAGCAAACATGCTTTGAAAGGAGTTATGTACTCGTATGGATGTGCCTTTAGTGTATTCTTTTTTCGTTGCTGACAAATACAAAATTTTCGGCTTATCTTAATTTATTTTTATGGAGAAATTTTTCTATGCTGAGTGACAGATGGAAACCACGACTTCAATAAAAAGATGGTTAAAATTAAAAATGTAGCTGTGAATGCACATTAGGGTAGTGCCTAAAATGTCAATATCATGTTCCACGCAAATTTCAATATTTAAAAAAAGGGTCGCTTACAGGGTTTTGAAATAAGAATGTAATTGTTTTTTTTTTTATCGCAAAAATTCAAAAACATGTTTACTTTAACCAGCTTTAATCGAGCGAGTTTATGAATGTAATAATATGTCAAATTTATTAGACTACAAGTCAAAATTTATAAAAATTTTTGCGATTTTTTAACAATTTAAATTGTTTCCATCTTCGATAGCGACCATGAATCCGACGAGGCTCGCCCTGGGGATGTAGTTAGAGTTCGCCGCAAGAATCACGATACTCTGTGACAGACTTCAAATGGCTGCTACTTAGATGCAATGAAGAAAGATCACACATTAATTTTGTAGGTATAGACCCAGACGGCCAGCGCTCTTCTCAGCCGCACGAAATAGCAAGGATTATGTGCCCTCAGCGTGAATTCGATCTTGGTGTCATCTTTACCTTTTAAATTTTGCTAGAAAGTAAAATTTCTTTGCGTAATGTTTAATAGGAAGGCGTGGTATTTTCTGAGGGATGCATTTTTAGCTTTGAACTCCCTAGAAGAGTATCTTAACAATAAAGATTTTTGTAGTTGGTGGGTTATGCTTATGTTTTATCCAAGTCGTCTAGGGGGGCCGGTATGTTTAGACGCGTCTGCTAACATCAGGCGCCTAAATACATGCTATGTACTGCTGCATGTGCAAAAACTTCCTTTATGCAATTTATGAAATTTTTGCACATGCACTTCTCAACTGCCATGTAATTGAACTTTCTTAAGTTTTAATTAGATGGCACTTCAAAGTTTGCTCGGCGTAGTCTGATGCATTCTCCGGACACTGTTCCGGAGTTTTTTTGCGGACTCTGCTTGACTTTGCATTCATGCAGAGGTGGTACTCACCTGTATCTACCATTGGCCACAGAGCCTACCCACCTTTTTTGAACCAATAAATATTTTTTTTTTTTATAAAATACATACATGCAAACATACTGGTGTCCCCTCTCACTGAGTTATTCATTCACAAGGGACAGTTCTTATTTGACTTTTCGAAGACAGTTTATTTTCTAGACGCCTACTTTACTCAAACAATGTGACAACAAATATTTATTCTCAATTGTATTGTTTGTGTAAACTCAAGGTTATACAACTGTCAGCAGTGTTGGACTTACGTGCGTCAAAACTTGGAGAGTTGGCCAACGTTCGTAGGGTCCGTCGACGCAAAGGTTGGCAATCTGTACTGAATGCAAATGCACACAGTCTACTCAACTGTCAGTTTCATACTTGAGCGGAACGTACGCAAAGTACCCGTTCTAACGGGGCCATGAGCCCCATTGCAGTAAAGTAGGGACTGTCAGCGGCTGTCAGGGCTGCTTTCACAATGATTGAGAATATTTAGTAACTATCTAAACAAAACTCAGCATCAAGTTATTTATTGCCCTTTTTTGTTTAATTTCAATTTTGAAAATCTCACCATTTATTACTCACCTCACTTAACTCTTCACACATTTTCTCCCCATACAGTACGACAACGTCAACTCCTGTCTAAATGTGCTGCGTTCGCAGGCGGTTTGTGGCGTGGATAATATCACCACGAATGACATCTGTGCCGGCCGACTGAAGGCAGTGTTGGCGCTTTTCTTTGCGCTCAGTCGTTACAAGCAACAGTCGAAGCAATTGTCCAACACAACAACACCAAATGCGAATATTGTTTTGGGCACAACAAATACAACAGCTAATTGCACAACAACAGCAGCGGCGGCAATAAATACAGCCACTGGTGGAGCAATAACGGCAGCCAGTAATCAGGCACAAAATCAGCAACAGCAACAGCAACATCTGCAGAACGGCAATGAAACAATGTTGAATAGGTGAGTGAAGAATTCGCCTTTATTTTATTTTTTTCTAATAATGTGAACAGTTCTGAAGGTTGTAGCATTAGATAAATTAAACTGTTCTCATGTATATTATGGGGAAGAGCTAAAAGTTTTATTGGGTTGTGGCAGTGGCTCAGGTTGTAGACTAAGCTACTTGAGAACAGTTAAAATAGGGTTTGTGTTGGGTGCAGTTCCATTATTGAACAGTGGAACGCTTTGAACAATTTCTGTGGTATATACAACCAGAGAACTTAGAAGCCAAATGAACAATTTTTAGAATTTTACTCCGTCTGTCTGGTTGCTCTGGTCTGTCTATCTGTTTGTATGTTTGTACGCGCATCACTGGAAAACGAATGCATGAAATTTAATGCAGTTTGCACCGATGTATTTCTATTGGTCTAACCTAAAATATAGAAGGAAAAAAATTAAAGAGTTGCTACCTGTTTTAAAATTGCAGTTTAATTAAACTGATAAGATAAAGAAAATATGTATTGCAATATGACTGTGAAAAGAAAGAGGTTTAAGAAGGCTTACAGTTAAAAATATTTTTGTGGAGGTTGCCACATTTATGAAAATGTTTATTTAATTAAATGGAAAAGATAAATAAAATATTACAATATGGGTATCAAACTGAAGAGGTTTAGGAAAGTTTACTGTCGAAAATATTTTTTTGAGAAGGGTTGCCACCTGTTTGAAAAATCTTATTTAATTAAATTGATAAAATAAATGAAATATTACAATACGGACAAAAATACTTTTAAGGCGCAGTGAAGCATGCCGGGTATTTGCTAGTAGTACAAATGTAGTTATACTTTTTATAGTTTTTCACTGAGGTTAGGTTCTTTTTAAAAACCTTGAAGGCTACTGCTGACGTTTTGAATTTGACAAATAATAATAAGAATATAATAATAAGTCATAAAGCGGGGTCCGCATAGATATATGGGCATCAAATCCAAAAAAAATTTGATGAAAATTTAAAAATTCTTAGCGTTAACAATTACATATATTTTTGAGACATGTAGAGAATGTCCTTTCAGATTTTCGTCATTCAATAATTCCGAAGTAGGTATGTTTAGTATATTACAATTTTCCATTTATCCCTTCAAACATATTTGAAACTATACAGGGTGTCCTGAACAACCTGTCTACCCCTTCCTAAATGGCTCTATCTTTTGGTCGCATTGCCGGCTTCCGGTTTGGACCGGAAGTGGGTTTAACTGACCGGAAGCACAGTTTTTAAGGTTATATACATGTTTTTACCACAGATTCAGATTCTGCACATACAAATACATAACTTATGTTTTCAACTTTTTTCTTGGAAGTGCCTTTTCCAACCTGGACTTCTAAAATGGACGAAAATGTTTTTATTGGAAAACGAAAAAATATGAATCACCAGATCGGAAATACCCTAGCTTGTGGTCGGGTTGGTAGGAAGTATTTTCAACTTGCTGGAAGTCCATTTCTTTAAATGGGGCACACAGAGTTGGATTCTGCGGAAAAAATACATAACTTGTGTTAGAAACTTTTTTCTGGAATGGAACTCCAGGACGAAATGTGTGAAGTTCGAAGGTCGTTTCCGTTTTCCAATAAACAATATTTTCCTCCATTTTAGCAGCGGTGGACGGTTGGGCTAAGACACCCTGTGTATGTATGCAACTTGCCCAAAGATTTTTCATCTTTGTTGTTGCCACAAATTTCTTCTTTATATTTAACTTGTTGAAGCTAATTCACCACTAACTCCTCGCAAAGTTTTCAAATTCATCTAATATGTAATTACGATATATATATATATATATGTATGTGATTACGATTATTGCCCCCAAAGACTCAACGAAAATTTTTCAATCTCTTTAATTGAGCTGCTTGTCAAAATGCAAAAAATGCGCAATTGACAAGCAATATGACAAAGTTTTGTTAAACAAAACCGAAATCATTAATAAAAGTTGATCGGAAATACTTAAAAAAAAGTCTCCCCCACACGTCGTCGCCTGTCTGCCTCCACAAACAACAAATCTAATATGATTTATCGCATTGTTTGCTCGGAAATTACAACGCATATCGATTCCCAACGGATTTCCGTTTTTTTTACGCCGCCTTTTTTATGTATGTATGTAAGTACTTTTTGCCTATTTTTATATTCGCCCCACAAAAACCACCAACCAACTCAATCAACTCCAATAAACTCCAATCACAGACGCTAAACTTCGAAATGAAATTCCTTGGAAAAAGTTTACTCAGCTGTATGCAGGCCAAATAAAAAAAACCTATCCTAAACATTTTTTGTATTTTACACAATAACACTCGAGAGCTTTTTTTCTTCCTCGCACATCCTTGCGTGCAACAAAAGTGTGCAACTGTACATGAGTTCTTGGCCGTTGCGTATTTCCCTCCATTGAAGTATACATATTTATGTTAATTTGGCTTTGTGTGCGTTCAAGTGCGTTTGATTGTCGTCCAACTGCGGCATCGTTAAAATGTTAGAAAATTCAAAACATGCCGACCAACCAATTTTCGATTCAACTTTATTTGTGCTGCCCCAAAAGTGCGCAGCTTTCCACTACTCTTCTCTCCTCACTTCACTAAAACCAGCTTACTCCGACCATCTTATTTTCATCAGCTCCAACGCAACGCAATGCTTTGAATGAATGCTCCCACTTCACAACCTCATCCGCCATCAGTGGGGAGCAGCTGGCGAATATGACTAAGCAAACAACCCCAAAATAGCGCAAACCAGTGGCGGGAAATCCCGTTAGACGGGAAACGGAAGCTGCTTTTCGGTATGCGCTCACTTTTAAAGCTACTCCACTGGCTCTCGGAGTCGGGGTTGCATACAACAGTGGGAGTTTTTTGTTGATGGCTTTGGCTACTCCCTTTTATGCTCTGGGGGGAGACTTTATTTGTTGTGTTTTCCTGTGTGTCTGAGTTTGAATGCAGGTCGTTAGAGACAGAAGTTGTAAGCGAAAGCGTTTAACTTTCGGTTTTGTTTGCGTGCGGAGCAGGGAAGTGGAGGAATTTTGTTGTACGTACATATATCTGTAGTGGCGCATTAGCCTTGTTTTATGGAGCTACTTTAGGTTATGTACAGGGGAGTACACGTATTTTTGCATATTTTCGTCTCAATGTTTGCGTGCCTACTCTGTTTGTGTGTGAATATGGAGACAGTCAAATAGTGATGATGATGACTTTGCTTTGACTATGAAATTTGAATGTGAAACGGAAATACAATATGTATTAAGAGGATTATGTACAAGTGGGTGGAGGAAGAGAGTCATCTTCGAATTTTCGTTTAATTCAAGTAATTTTTGAACATTCTAACAAACTTTGCATATTAATTGCGTTGTGACTTTTCGCCAAAAGCGACCAAGTAGTGTAGTGTTTCTGTCGCGCTTATCATAATTTGTGTGATTTCAACGATGTACACTCATCGTAATCCCTCTTTAAATTACTCTGCGTTCATGCCGACTATTTTTGTTCAACCAATTCTGTCACATTTTACTCCACGACGAACTCGCGCGCGACAATCTATGAGCGCCAAAGCACTCTTCGGTGGAATAAATATCTTAAGTTCTTTGCTTCTAACACTATGGGTCTTCACACCGAAGCTTGGTACTCGATAACTCGGTGTTCAGTAATTTTTTCCCATATATTTTTTTTTTTACACAAACAAAATACATTAGAAAAAATTTCCGAACACCGAGTTACCGAATACCGAGCTCGGTGTCATACTGTTTTTAAAAGGTTCTACGGTTTGGACGCCTAAAAGCATGTAACACTGAATGTCTGAGAAACTTTTGCTGTCATTTAATATTTCATATTTTTTGCCTTACAAATATACTATGAAGTAGTTTATCAATGTTTCAGGCCTCAGGCACCGCAATTTGGCTCATTGAATGGTATAGTATCTAGGTAAGTTAGGTTAGGAAGGCGCGACAAATCACTCGGAGGCAGATTTGCCTATTGTGAATGCCCTCCTCGGTGAGTGCTTGGAGGAGGTACATCCTTCTAACCGAGGTTAATCTATACCGTCGGTACACATGTTGTCAAACCAGTTACTACACCCGAATGAAGCCGTGGCAGTACGATTTTTCACCTCCGCGCTAATGCTTGAAATTCCTTGGTGAATCGATTCCTCTTCGTCCTTACTCCGAGAACTTCTGCAGAGGGAGCTTGTTGATATCCGCTATCGATGGAGCATTGAGACCTTACAGTCGTCCCGATTTATCCCAAGGACATTGTCCGCCGGAGTGAGAAATACATACATTGAAGGCCTAAAAAAGGCCGACTTATTATATGGACTGTTTTTACGCCCACATAGTCCTAAACATTTTACATTTTTCCGCTTTGTAAAACCTGAAATTTGTATAAGTAAGAGCTCAATCGTAAATGGCTTTTGCTTTTGCCATTTAAATTGATAGCTCAGCCAGAATTCATCCACTTCCGCTTCTTCTTAGAAGCAGTATTGCATTGTTCTCTTTCTCTGCCTTGGAAGTAAATGTCTGTGAGCTAAGCTAAAAATGCCCTTACAATTGAAACTTTTTGCTGCAGAATTGTTGACAGTATTTTAAAATTAAATTGCCTTACAAAAAAATTTGCTACATTTTTGACAATGTCCGTTCATCAAAAACAAACGTATTCCGTATTCGAAAAACAACTTTTCGCGCATAACTTTCACTTTTGCTGAGATGAAATGAGTTCACACAAAAATTAGTTTCCACAAAACAAAGCAACAATGTTAATAGTCACAAAACAGCAATGTGAAAATAACTAAAAACCCAACACCACAAACAATCAACTAACAACAAGTTTGCATATCACCCCAAAAAATCCGTAGTCCAGCGGCATTATTTTATCTGTCTGTTTGACAGAATTTGTCTGTTTGCTTGCCACTTGTTTATAACGTCTGCGGCTTGACTCCGACTACAGTCGGAAACACTCGCCCTTCTCCCCCGACACATGCCGACAATCAACCAACCACTGGAGTCACTTTCAACAAC